CTCCATTCCGATAAATAATTTTCAGCTTTAAAATTTAATTTAAAAAACAATGCAACACTATATATTTCGTAGGTATATTTTAAAAGTGGTTTTAAGAAAAAAAGCAAAATGAGGGGATAAACATACCGTATTTCTTCTAATAGTGCAACCGATCGGTTTATTTTTCCATCTTTAGAGGGTAGGTTTATTAGAAGGGGATGTTCTAATAATGAAAGTCGCATTATTAGAAGAAATAAAGTATTTGCTTTAATTAAAACGAGTAATATTAACAAAAATAGAGTGGATTTTAAATATTTTTTTTGAATTTTTTTATTTTTTAATTAAAAAAATATTTTAAAGACTTTAAATAAAATTTAAAAAAGAGGCGAGTATTTTTAAAAAATGCTTAAATAATTTAGATAAATTAAGCAAAATATAAAAGAAAGCGTACAGAAGTTGGAACTAAAAGAATCTAATAGATAATAAGGTCCGACTCCATTTATGTGTACCTCCACTGGAGATCGGACCGAGATGAGGTCTCAATCAAAAATCTTGTTGCAGGTATGTCCCAACCAGTCCGATTTCTAATCCGCATAGCTTAGGCTACCTCTTGAGGGTTATCGTTAATCTGTGTTGGACATTATTTTTTTATGTAACTCAGTCAGCGTGTCAGAGAATACAAAACAGAAATCAGACGCTAAATAATGTAAAATATTCCAAATATCGATATCTAAAAACTGAAGATTACACTTTAATTAAAAAAAATTTTAGAGGTAGATTTTCATTGTATTTTTGCAAGCTGGCATGATAAGTCTGGCTATAATCGCAATTAAGGACATAACTGTACACCTCATTTTAATATATGATTTTTTCTGTTCATCAGGGGTACACATAAATGAAGTCCTAATGTACATGTATAAATTGAATAAAAATGGCCAATAAAAATATTTTTTTAATTTTATTTTGAGGAAGAAAGGATTTTAGGTGGGAGAGAAAAATTAAAAAATAATCAGAAAAAGCATTGGCCATTTTTAAATCAAATTAAAATTTAAATACTAGACATAAACTAAGCTTTAAAATAAATAAAATAATTAAATAATCGAAGCTGCTATTACGCCAAAAATTCATCAAAAATTCAGTCAGTTTCGCGTACGCAGTTAAAAATAATTTTTAAAAAATTGTGGGGGGATAGGGAAAGGCACGGGAAATAATTTACAATTATTGTAATTTATTTTAGAAAAATGGAGAGAGAATATTTAAATAATTTAAATAGATTTAGTTAAAAATTAGAGAAAGCATGTTGTGTTAATTTAAATAAAAGTTAGAGATGATTTTGATGGAGATGAGGAAATTTTGAATTAAATTTTATTTTTTATTTCTAAAATTGAGGTAAGTGTCCCAAAAAAATTTTAAAAAATTAATGTAAGGATGATTCACCTAGCAGCATTTAAAACGCTTAGGCGGTGGTTAAACAAACTAAAAGAATAAAAAAGAAACATTAGCTCACTCGTAGAGCTCAGTGGTAGAGCTCCTGAATATGGTGAGCGAAAGCGCCTAGCAATACCTGTAAGGGGGGTTGCAGTTCCGAATCCTGCCCGGTGGCTAAACTTTTGCCAAACTCTCTCTTTAAAGTTGACAGCACAGACTTCAAGTAAGCTTGCCTACTGTACTTAATATACTATATTTTAAATGAGTAGCTAATCTAGTATTTGGTTGTTATTAGAGTAAAAATGGAAATATAAAATATTACAAACTCAAGGCTTATATAAAGCTTAAATTTTTTGATAAAATTGTCTTTCTTGGCAGACCTGAATCATTTTTTGGAAGCCGACAATGGATGTCTGGCTATTAATAAAACTATGAAATTATGACAAAAATTTACGAAAATATGAGCTATGTCAGTCATATCGTCAGACATTTAATTTAAAATGTCTGGCATAATGTAGAAGGGCAGATTTTGGCGTTTATTCATTCTTGAAAGTTTTATGTGAAAATTTTGAGGTAACGAAAAATGTCCAGAAGTCTATGTGCATTAGTGATGTTCGGGTATCCCGACTCCCGACACCCGACTCGGGAAATTTCCCGAGTTTTCGGCCTCCCGATCCCGACCCCGACTCCCGATACCAATTCCCGACTTAGTCGGGAAATTTTTACACCCCTAAGAATGGCTTTTTCTGATAAAATTTTATTTTTGAAAGGAAAAAATAAAGAAAAAAATAAAAAAAGAGAAAGGAAAAATAAAATATTAAAATTTTTTCCCATATAGCTATTGTTGAGATGTGGTTGAGTGGTTAAATTGAGTGACTTCAGTCGCTTTGTTGGGGCTAGGTTCGAGTCCAGGGATGGGAAATGTTTTTAAATAATTTTTCCAACCAAAAATAAATGGTTTTAACATTGATTTTGATTTTAAAATTTTTAAATTATTTTTTTCAATATTATAAACGTCAAAAAATTCTCGAAATATTAATTTAGTCATGAATTTTCAAAAAATTTTCGCCTGCGGTGCAGAAACTGAAAAATATCTGACTTCTTAGTCTTCAAACTTAAAAAATTTCGCCTGCGGCGCTGAGGGAGGAAAAATTTCACTCTTAGTCTTCTAAATTTAAAGTCTCACATGCGGCTGAGAAAAAGGATGAAATCTAGCTCATTGGCTTTCCATATCCCAAAATTTTCGCGTCCGGCGGTAAATATTTCTTTACTTTTCTCAAAATTATTCAAAGTATTTACTCCTCCCCTTTCTGGATTGCGTTTATTTAGACTTTGTAACTGCTGCTTCTCTAAGAAAATTTTACTCAAAGCCTCCAACCGGCTTCTTATTTCTCAAAATTTTCGCCTCCGGCGGTGAATAAAGGCCGAAGTCTGGTTCTTAGCCCTTCAGACTTAAGAAAATTTTCGCCTGCGGCGCGGACAAAGGATTTTAGATTAAGTTGGATATCAAAAGACTGTCGAGAGTGATCATAACATCAATGGCCTATCCAGGAGGTTAGATGTCTGGCTCTCTGACCTTCCAAAATTCTCAAAATTTTCGCCTGCATTGAAAAAAATTGGTATTTTTGGCGCCGAAGGCGCCAAAAATTTTTTTGTTGTAAATTCCCGACTCCCGATCCCGACTCCCGAGGTCATTTCCCGACCCGACTCCCGTTTCCCGATTCCCGAGTTTTTTCTTCTCCCGAACATCACTAATGTGCATCCTACAAAATATGCAAAATTTCAAATAAAAAATGCTTAAAAATTAATAGCTGTATTACTTCACGGTATAACGTTTTCTGCACCACGTTTTATTTTTGCAAGCTGAGAGAAAGTCAGCTAAAATACTATTTTGAAAAAATTAATTCTTAAAAGCCAAATTGGGACACTCCCCAATATCAAAAAAAAATAAAATTCAATTTTAAATTAAATTTACAAATAAAGTTTAGAAAATAATTTAATTTTAAATAATTATTTAAACACCGGAGACAATAAAAAATATTAAGTAGGGGATTTTTAAAATAAATTGCGGTAAACTAGCTTTTAAATTAAATAAACTATAAAATACACGTTACTAAAAATTGTTTAAAAAGCATTCAAAATAAATTAAAATTTAAAAAATAATTAATTTAGAGAAGAGGGAAATGAACACAAAAATTGCAAAAAAAATTTAAATAAATATTTAGAAACACTCGGTCATTAAATATTCCAAAATTTGAGTCCTTCATTTGAGATTAACCTTCCATTAATAATTCTTGTGAAAAATCAATTTAAAATCAAGAATCATTTATTTACCCCTATCATCAGTGAACAAAAACATCGACCTGAATCAGGCCCTAATTTTGATTTTTCTTAAACTTAGAGGAAAGTCAATGCATTTTAGGGGATACCTGATTTTCCCGTGTCAAATTTTTTATCAGACTCAGATTATCAACCTGTGAAAGTCATTAGTTTAAAATCAGAGTCAACGATTGAGATCGAGGATTTTTAGTTTAGATATCTAGACATTCAAAGCAATAGCAAAGGATTTATTTTCCCTTTTTCTTAAATTCAATCAAGTAAATTCATCTTTGTTCCTGATCTAATTTCTCATTATTAACTCGCTTTAAATTTTTATTTTTAAATGTGACTGTTATATTAGTGTTGAGGCTGATCTTAATTTTTTGGATGCCATTCTATCGCAATAGGCAAAAAAATTCTCTTTCATATCCCGCTTTAAAAGAGACTTATTCAACACAAACTGTTCTTTTGTAAAATGGTCCCGCATTGTTAATTAGGTACTTTATGGATATGTCACCCCCCTCCTATTTTGAGTCTCAGAGTTTTCCTTAAACGTAGAAAATGGTTAGAGATTATTTTCTTCTCCATGTCAATCATTTTTTCTTCTACAAGTATTTTGCTTGTTTATTTTGCCTTTTCACATATTTTGTACTTACATTTCACTCATTTCGTTTCTACATTTACCACATTTCACTTATTTTGCTTGAAGAAAGAAAAATGATTGACATGGAAAGGAAAATAATCTCTGACCATTTTCTATGTTTAAGGAAAACTCTGAGACTCAAAATAGGAGGGGGGGTGACATATCCATAAAGTACCGTTAATTATTGTTACTGGAATTTCCAGTTAAATTTCAAGTAAAGCAGACTAACTTGTTTAAGTTTTATTCCTTATCAGTTTTCTTGATTTTAATTTCATAAATCTGGCATTAACAAAGATTATCGCGGCGCGTTGAAGGCAATGCATGTATTTTTTGGATGCCATTCTATCGCAATAGGCAAAAACGTCTTTAGCTCTCAAAGGTTAATCTCAAAGTAAGCAGACTCAAATTTTGACAAGAACAAAAATATAAATAATATCAAACTAGACGAGACTATCAGACTAAAAATTGAAAAAAAAATAAATTGAACTGTTAAATAAATAAATTTAAAAATATCGTTTTGAGGAGAGGAAAACGAATCTCGTTTAAATAATTTTAAAAATAACATAGCTTCTTACTGTATTTTAAATTTTTCTTACTGTAGTTTAAAACCTTCCTACTGTATTTAAAATTTTTATTGATTCAATGAGAGACGCTCAAAAACTGGAAGACGCACAGAAGCGGGGGAAGTGTCCTTCTTTTCTGTTGAACTTTCTGCCTTCGTTGCGGTAGTTGGAGTGGGTGGGAGGAGTGAGGGACTTGAGGTATCTTTAGAATTAATCAAAATAGAATCTCCTGTTTTTTGAATATGAGTAGCAGAATTGGAGAAAGACGAGGAAAGTAGAGAGGCCAAGGAAGACGAAGCTGTAGATTTGTTGCAGGTGTTGATGTCGGTTGAAGTGACGCCTTCAACTGTTTTTGATGTAGCTCCTGAAAATAGAATTTTATTTATTATTAATTTTCGTATTTTTAAATTATTTTATGTTGAAGTGAACGAGATATTTTGTCCCTTCGTTCGTACGCTTTTTATTTTTGGATGCCAAGTTCACCTATTAGCAAAAATACATACAAAAATTGAAGTTTTTAGCCATACATTAAACAGTTTTTCTAATTTGCTTAAAAATCTACTGTGAGCAGGCCAATGTACAGCCGAGATAAAACTTCATTCAAAATTATCGAATCTGGGACGCCCTGGTAGATTCAGAGCACCTAGGCGCATCGTATCATACGAAGGACCCCGCATTCGATAATTTTGGCCCTAGTTATAGCTGAGCGGTACATCGAGGTATACCCAATTTGATTACTAGTTATAGTCTAAAGTCGTGTTTAATTTTCCAAAATTTATTCTGCCTTTCAAAAATGTTATAAGACCATCCTAGTCGTCTCAGCTTGAAAAAATTAAAATATACATGGAAAATACAAAATTTCACTCATTATTGCTTTTTGTATTCTTAAACCTTTAAGTTTACAACTAATTTGTGAGCTTTTACTGTTGTGTAGTCCACCATGTTGACAGTATTTTTGGATGCCTAAGCTAAAGCTTAAGCAACGATATTCCTATCTATGCAAATATAACTAATCTTTTAGGGATAGCTATAAAAATAACTTAGAAATTATTAATACATATGAGGTTATGGGCCAAATTTGCGTCTTTTCAAAATTACAAAATTAGGTGATCGTTAGACCAATTAGAATTTACTTAACATCCGTTTCTGTATTTTTGAAACGTTTAATTTTGTGAATTCGCTTTTAGTTTCGTACACGTCAGCATATTTTTATTTCTGCAGATTATTCCATAAAACTCCCAAATTTAATACCTTTTTTGAGTGAATTCGGGGTTGTTGTAGTTATTGTTTTATCCCCATCACTGCTTCTTCGTTGTTGAGTTTCGTCTAAACTTGATAATGCTGATGATTGTTGGCTGTTACTTGAAAGATTGTTTTGTTGTTGTTGGATTGGTACGGCTTGTGAAGCTTTTGGCTTTGCTGACTAAAAAAGTAATATGTATGCATTGGAAGAATTCAGTGGAGGGGAATAGAATGTCATTAGGTGGAGGAAGGAGGATGGAATATAAATATGTACCATATTAATTTTTGTTTATATAAAAATCTTATGTTTTTGAATAATGCAGTTTTTAAATAAGAGGATTTTTTCTTGTTAGTTATATTATTTTTGAATGTCAGTTATTACAGTCTGACAGATTTCAACTTGCTAATTATCAAAGCATAGGCACAACCAAAGATGTTCGAAACAAAAAAATCTTCGGAAATCGAAAGAAAAAACCCTCGAAAATCGAAATTTCGAAACATCTCTGGGCACAACTAATATTTCCCGTCTTGTAACATCAAGTAGTTTATACTCACTTATTTCCCTATTCCCGATTTGAGAAGGATGTAATCTCAAGCTCTGGAGAAGGCAAAATGCCTTAATTTCTCTAAGAATTTAAGATGGGTAAAATTACATTTAAGAATTTACATCTTCGGAAGCAGCAGGAGGAGATTCATTGCCAGAATCAATGTTTGAAAAAATTATTGATGAACGAGAATATTCATCTAAAAATAAATATGATAATTAAAATTTAGTCAACAGCTTCTTATTAAATTATAAATTAAAGATTATTTAAAAGAAGCCATAGAATATTCTGCTTCGTGATCACATTTAGAGCGCTTTAATTTTTTGGATGTCAGTTTTCACTGACAATGATATGTTACACTATTTTTGCATTTTACTTGATCACCCTTGTCTAAAAAACATAGTCTATCAAAAGTAGGGTTGTCAGTTTCAAACCGAATTTACCCGAAACCACGAAGATTTTCGGCTCGGTTTCCGCCAAGACTAATTACAAGGCTAAAAAACATTGAGAGAATAACCTAGATAATTTCGAAGTTTTGACTCTCAAGGATAAGTGTCAGGCAGTAACAAATTAGCTAATCAAGCTTACTTATAGCTTAGACTTATAGCCTAGTAATAGCTATACTTATAGCTTAGTAATAGCTTAGCCTGCTCTCCAGTTATTAAAGAAAGGCTAAAACTTAAAGCATCTACAGATCGTTGAAGAGTAAAAGCTTAACAAATCTACATATAACTTATTTTGTTTTAAATTCTATTTAAGTTAATCGTTTTTGAAATGTGGAATCCTTCTGATTCTTTGCTATGTACTTTTATTTTTTGGATGTCATTCTTTGCATTGACAAAAAATATCTGAGTCTCTAGGTAGGTCCGACTCTTACAAAATCTCTTTTAAAATTTTTTCCCTTACCATCACTAGCACAACACAAATTTCCAAGTAATTGTTGGGCATCCAACTCTTCATTATTATTATTCCCAACACCATCAATATCATCAGTAAAATCCAAAAAGTGTTGTTTTTGGGTATTTACTGGAACTGGCAATATTTTACGTTGACGGCGATTTTGCTGCAAAATTTGTGTTGAGTCTACTCCATGAGTGTATGGAATAGAAGAAAAGTGGAGAGGTGAAATTTGCCTGGAAATTAATGAATTAATTAGGGTTACTCTTGGATGAAGAGGAAGGCACCCTGGTATGATTCAATTCAACTAGTTGAGGTGAATCGAACCAAGGCAGGGCGTACCGGATTAACAATTCTGAAAGAAGTTATAGCTCGGCGGTAAGTTGGGCTTGAGGTACATTGGCCTGCTCCCGTATACCATCAAAGCGACCCTTTAAGACCACAAGCGTTAATTAGAGCATTTATGGCATTTATGGTGAGAATGAGTAGAGAGAAAAGTACTGGGTATTGAACCGTACGAGAGATTTCCGGAGACTCTAGAGAACAATGAGAGAAAATATTTCTTACTCGCTATGCCATCCTCCCCCAACAGCGGGCGGCGAGAATATATCCAACGTTTTTGGACGAAAATTTTGATTATCTGCCATCATTCCTGATAAATTTGAATTATTTTGAAGAAATTCATTGTCTCGAGGTGTCTCGTGCCATAATGACTGAAAAAATAAAATTTAAAAGAATAGGAATAAATTACATTATATTAATTTTATTAATAAACTGCGATTTAAAATGGTAAACTGCAATCGCTAAATGAAGCGCCATATTGCCATGTTGATTTTATTTTTTGGAAGCCGGCATTGCCGGTTAATATGTATTTTATGTGGCTGCCATTTAGCTTACAATTTTACCGTATTTTCTCGATTAATTCACCTTCCTCGAATAATTCACCTCTCTCAATTAATACCCCAAGCTAGAGTTGGGTTGAAACAATAATTCCCCACCACTAAATACTCTACTGCACGTTCTAATGCCAGAACTAGAATAATCCCCCTTTCTCCATTAATTCCCCATGCCAAAGAAGGGTTGAAAAAACAATTCCCCAGGGGAATTAATCGAGAAAATACGGTATTTAAATAAACTTGATAATTAAACTAAGCCGGAATCACAGAGATTAATAAAAGGTGTTCTTTTATTCATGCATTATCTAAATTCGAAATTTAAACAATGCTAATTTTGACTAGAGATGTAGATTGCAAGCTATTAAATTTTTAAATTAAACGCGGATTTTGGTATGAATATACATTTAATTATTCGAATAATTGCGTTTGAGGCTGTTATTTTTTGGAAGCCGCGTTTGCCGGTTAATATTCTAGTTATAGTTTTTTAAGTTTTAGACAAAATCTATTTGACAAGAGATTTGAATTGCAAGTTATTAATTATTTAAAATAAACAAGAATGTTAATGAAAAAGTTAGGCGAGTATTTACATAAGGTTTGAACAAAAATTCATTTTTTGGAAGCGGGTAGTGCCTGCTAATCTCATAGAAGCAAAAGTTAATTTCCCTAGGTGCGGAAATGCCTGTGGACTGAGATATAGGTTCCTGAAATTTGAAAAACCATAGGAGCTCCTCGAGCTGAGTCGAACAACTTTAAGCCAAGATAATGAGGCTCAAAATGGTCAACTTAAACCTAAGGCACGTCGGCGAGGCGGTTCTTACTTCTAGGAAGAAGTATGATAAATATTTGCAAGTTATTAAATTTTTGAGTTAAATGAATATTAGATTTAATGCATCCACAAATGAGTGACATTTCTTTCTCTTCCAGTAATTTTTTGGAAGCCGCGTTTGCCGGTTAATTTTCAAGTATTAAAATATGGTTGTAAACACCCTCTTAATAAAGGTGTTAATAACCTGCTTTCGGTTATCGCCTTTATATGACCATTGGTTAACGGTTTCTGTTAATTCGCAAAAAAACAGGTGTTTTGGCTAAAAGTTTGTGTCAAACCCTATATTAAAAGGTCAAATTTGAACATTTTTTAAAATTTCTTATCATAAAAAAGAAAATTTCAAAATTCACCTTTAAATTATTGTTTCCTTCAGAATAATTTTTCATTCCAGTATTGAATTCATCAAAATAAAAATTGCTAGAAAATTGATGACTATTTTGTTGTTGCTGATCAAATTCTTGAGGTGGTGAATTTTGAAGTAAATGCATTAAATTATTGTTAGTGTTATTGAAAATATTGAAATTGTCTGGATTGCTTCCAAAATTGTGAGATTTTCCAATTAAATGTTGCTGACTGAAAATTAAATAATTATTAAAGTTTTATCATGTTTTAGTTCAAATTGGAAGGACAAACGCTTTATAGACATGCGAGTTTTTCTAGATTTTTGAACCTCATAAGCAGTCTATAAAAGTTTCAATCACCTCTTATAATTGCCAACTTATTACGTGACATCCAAAAAATTAATCCTTTACCCTTGTAAATACTTCAAGCCTCATTGAAATTTAAAACTAAAAAAACGCCTAATTTCAAAAATTAATATTAAGCAATATATTTCAATTACAAAATTTACTTCTAGCAAAGAAGTGTTAGTGTTGTCTATGAATTATACTTTCGATTTGCTCCTTTACTTTTACTCTTTCAGACAAGCCGTTAATATCTACTTTCGAACAACACATGTTTTACCTGCCAACTTAGTTGCGTGGCATCAAAAAAATAAAAAATAACCCCAATAATGAACAAACAAGACTAACAAATACTTGAAGCTTAAGAATACAGATAATATTAAAACTAATATTGAGCATTGAAATTTAGACCGTTTTTTAAATTTAGATGAAATCGTTAACAACTCGAAAACCTTTTTTATTGCCTACTTATGCGTGGCATCCAAAAAATTACAGACCTCTACCTATTGCGACATAAAGACCTATCAAATATTAAGTCTTAAAAACATGCCCAACTTTAAAAATTAATATTAATCACGAAAATTTCGTTATAAAGTTTGGTACGTGCAAAGAAATGTTGGAATTTTCTGAGGAAAATCTTACGGATTCACTCAGTCTTCTTCTAACTTAGATTATAAAAGCTTGTTGACGACGTATTATTCTTGATTAGAGACAGGGGCTGGACGCAGGGTGGCCCTTTTACCCTATTTATAGAGGATTTTCCCTATTTTTTCCCTATTTTCTCATTTGCCATATTTTTGCCCTTTTTTTGAGTGGCTGCGCCCTATTTTAGTGTTTTGGAAGGGGCCACCCTGGCTGGACGAGATCTCTAACAAAATCTGTAATATCTAATAAACGAATGATCATACGCCTCTAGTCTTGATAGTCATAGATCAAGCAATCTAGGTAGTCTTTTTCTTATTAATTTTACGAATAGTCGTTAAGAATTGCAAACAACTTCTGTCTTACTTGCCAACTAATGTGTTTGTTGGCATCCAAAAAATTACAACCTTGAGAGGCATAATCACATACTTAATCAAATGTTTAAAGTTTAGATATGCACAAAAATTTAAAAATTAATATTAAGCAATAAAATTATTCGGTATTTATGGGCTGCAGTATATAGTCTACCTCATCTGCCTAGACTCAACTGCTCCTTATCTTGTTTCCTCTCCTTTTCCAGTTTTAGTTTAACTCAAAATTATCCCTCTACAAGAAAGAATTTTCATCTAGTACAAAGCTATACACACTCTCCCCACTATCATTAAAAAAGAGAGAGAAGCCAGCAAGCGACTGCAGGTCATACATACACTTGCACTATTTCCCCGACACATGTCTGTCACTTAGCGACATTGACATTCGATTGATTATTTTCGTAAGAGAGGAGTTAACCATTTTTTTTCATTTTACTAACCAAACAGACAAAAATTAGTTCCCCAAACACAACTAACATTTTTAAAAAAATTTTGGGCAGGTATTATAGGGCTCAATTTTAGAGAGTTTGTCGAGCTGATTTTAATCTTCCCTCACTTTGCCTCCCAAAAATATTTTTTTTCAAAATTAAATTTTCCAAGAATGCCAGTCAAAAAATCTCAAGCGGCTAGTAGTCATAGGTGCGGGGGTGTCGCGGGCGACTTTTTGACTTTAAAGTCAAATCCTTTTGATCAGTTTTGACTTTAAAGTCAAATCCTTTTGATTAGTTTTGACTTAAGGCCAAATCCTTTGAGCGGCTGCTCAAAGCTCAAACCTTCAGCGCACGTTAGTGCGGTAAACTTCTCAAGAGCCGCTACCTATAGGAGTGAGAGAAAATCAATGTCGCGGCATCATCCTGCTCCTTTTTCTTCTCTTCCCAATCCTCCCCCACCTCTTCTCTCTCCTTTTCTCTCTTCTCTGGTTAAAATTTAGGATGAGAGGAGGGAGGAGTGGAGTTGGAGGTAGGACTCAACCGACTCTTTTATTAACGCGATCTTCTTTTTAATACTGTAATTTTATTGAATTTTTAAGCTCACTATTTTTGTCAATTATTTAAAATTTTTTTTTAATTTTTAATTTTTAGTTAAAAAAATATGTTTAATTGCACAGAGTGCAATAAAAGTTTTTCGACAAAATTCAACAGAAATAGACACTTAAAAACCATACACGTAAAATTTTTTTAATATTCTGAAAATTTTTTATTTTTTAAGAAAATTGATTTGGAAGAGGCTGATCGAGAAATTCAACGACCTGTTAAAAATAAGAAAAGAAAGATGGAGGAAGATGAAGTTGTCAAGATGGAGGAAGCTGAAGCTGTCAAAAAATCAATTAAAGTTTTTTTTTTGTAATAATTTTAAAAGCTTTTGAATTTTTCTAGTATAAAAGAAAATTCAAACGGCTCCGTCTGCTCGCAACTTCTGTGAACAGGAGCAATGTGACACTTATGCTAAAATTAAAAAATTGTAAGGAACAGCTTGAGGAGGAAATGAATAAAAAGTATATTTTTTAAAATTTCTGATTTAATGAGTTTAATTCCTATTTTTCTAGTAAATTATTAATCGAAGACTCGAGAAATGCTGTTTCAATAAAGGAGATGGAATTACTCAACCAAACGAAGAATTTGACTGAAACAAACAACAAACTTGATGAATTAAATGCAAAAACTGAACAATGGAGAGTCGAGAAAGACAAAGAAACACACGAATATAAACGTGTTATTGATCAACTTCGCCTTGAGAACGGGAAACTTCAAAGCGATTTTGAAAGGGTTTGGTTTAAATTTTTTTATAGGTGCGGGGGTGTCGCGGGCGACTTTTTGACTTTTAAGTCAAATCCTTTTGATTAGTTTTGCCTTAAGATCAAATCCTTTTGACCGGCTGGACAAAGCTCAAACCTTTAGCGCGAGTTAGTGCGGTAAAAGCTGACCAACCTGTACCTGTAGGAGGAGAGGGAAAAATTGATGTCGCGGGCGTCCTACTCCTCCTCCCTCTCCTTCCCTACCTCTTCTCTCTCCCTTTTCTCTTCTCTGGAAAAAAACGTCGTGGGGTGGTGGGGGTCTGGTAAAACCAAAAGGAAGAGGGCATGTTGGGGGATCGCGCGGCAAAAACCTAAAGGGAGTGGACAACTTGGCAGAGTCTTGGGGTGGAGTGGGAAGGGAGGCCAAGATTTGTGGTGGAGAGGTCAGACAAACGATAGAGTATGTGCATTTATTTGTGGGAAAAATCAAAATGGAGAGGAAAATTCTTGCGGAGAGATACGATAAAAGAAAAGTGAATGGCAATATTTGGGGAGGATGGGTCAGACAATAGGAAATATTTAATTATGAGAGGAAAACCAAAAGGAAGAAGGAAGAGAACCCCTTTTGAATGTGGACATCATTGTCTAGGGTGGCAATAACTGAAATGGATAAAATAGTCTTGTAATCAAATGGTGATGAGAGGGTAGAGAAAGTGGTTTAAGGGGTAATTTGTAAATCATCGTCGTCGTGGCCGACTTTTTGACTTTTAAGACAAATCCTTTTCATTTGTTTTGACTTGAAGTCAAATCACTTTGACAGGTCGGTGATAACCAGCTCCTACTCCTCTCATCCCTCCTCTCTGATAATACTCCTCCTCTCCTCATTCTTTCTCCTCCCCATTTCATCTTCTCCGCTATTTTCTTCTTCTTCTTCCTCCTCCTCCTCCCTCCTATTCCTCATATCTTCTCTGATTCCTATTCCTCATATCTTCTCTGATTCCTCCTCTATTCTACTCCTCTCATCTTCTCCTCTCTGATACTACTCCTTCTCTCCTCATTCTCCTTCTTTCTCCTCCCAATCTTATCTTCTCTATTTTTTCCTCCTCCTCCTCCCTCCTACTCCTCCCATCTGCTCTGATCTCATCTTCTCCTCTCGGTTCTTCCTCTATGATACTATTTCCTTCCTCCTCTCCATATCCTACTCCTCTCCTCGTTCTTTTTCTCCTACTCGTTTAATCTCTATTTTCTTCCTACTCTCTTCTACTCTCTCATCTCCTCTCGTATCATCTTCTCTTCTCCTTTTATCCTCTCCTTTCCTTTGCGGTTGAACAATCACCATCGTGGAGTAGAGGGGTCTGGCAAAATCAAATGATGAGGACATATCGGTAGAGTTGTGGTGTTGAAGGGTAATTTGTAAGCAGTGGTGAAAAAATAATTTCTAAATTTGAAGTGTCATTTATTTTGTAATTACTTTATTACAATCTTATAGAACCATTCAACAAGTGATCTATTACCTCATCGAATAATCAAATTGTTCTTTGTAATTAACCAAACAGTGTTCGTGTTTATTATGTATTTGTCATAATTTTTTAAATTATTGTCATATCTTATAAAAAACATGTGCAATATTAATGTTTTAAAGTGGTAGATTTTAGGGAGAAAAGTGCATATTTAAGTGTTAGAAGATACAATGTGCATAATTAACCATTAGAAGTTGATGATTTTAGGGAGAAAAGTGTATAATTAAGCATTACAAGTTGTAAAAAGCATAGTTTGGAGTTTGAAGTAGTTAATTTTGGGGGTAAAAGTGCATATTTAGACAAAAGAAAGTGCAAATTTTAATTTTTTTTAAAATCCACGCATTTTAGGTATGTGCGCGTGTTTTGTGTATGTGCGTGTTTTTAAGGCGTGTCAGTATTTGTTAATGTTGTAATCCAGATCAAACTCCGAGAATAAAAAGTTGGAGATTTTTTCTAACATATTTATTTCTTTTTTAAATTTTTATTGATTTTTTTTTTGCTTTATTGAATAATGTCTAATCTTCCTACTAGAGGCGTGCGATCGTTTTCTATTGATAACCTCCTTTCTAGAGATCAAACAGGAGAAGGAGCTCCAGAAGAATATGTTGAAAAACTTGAGGAT